AAAGACTGTACCTCTCTCAACCAGTTTAAGTATATTATTAGTATCATCTTAACTCTTGTGGGTGTGATGAGATCTGCCATATATGTTTATTTTAGTTTGTGTGTGTTAGGGTATTAGGTATGCTTAATGGTCCGTCTCGCCATGCCTTGTGGCTGGGGGGATCGGGCTCCGAAGCTACATAAAAACCCTATACCCCCCCGAAGTGGCAAGGGGAGTTAGGGGACAAAAAAAAAATAAAAACGAAGCTATACCTAATAAATTCCCTGTAACCTACCTTACCCCTCTATTGTCAACCCATGTATGTTTTTTTTTTTTTTTTTTTTTTCAAATCAACGCTGTTTGAATGTAATTTTCTGTAATAATTTGTAATTGTATTTGTGCTGCTTTTTCAACAATGTTCCCCCCTCTTTTACCTCTATTTTTATTTGTACTCAACGCATTTTTTTCTTTTTACCCATTAGTTTTAAGCTTTAGTCATTAGTGTTTGTTCCTGTCCGAAACGCTTTGCGTAATTAGTGGCTTTAGGCATTGTATGTACTAGCTCTATCTATAAAGCCAACAAACTTTGTAAAATCTGTAACGGTTCTATTGTTACGTAAAGTATGGTGACAAATAAACACAGACACTAAGATACTATATATATATTTGGTCGAATATTCAGAAGTACACAGGTGATACGTTGGTGTGAGTTGAGCGCACTGAGCGTTGGTACAGTATCTCGCAAGTGTCTGCTCTAGACCACACTTGAAAGTAGACTAGTTAATGTTCGCTACACCGCTGCTTATATTGCTCGGGCATCTCACCGTGTTGCCCGGGCAACGCCTCACCTCATTCATCTCCTAAGGTTGACAGGAACATTAACACTATATTTGGAGCGAGTATATTATTGGGATAATCTACTCGCTACAGAACTCCCCCTCCCAGGGGATGAAAGGAAAAATACTTGATCAAGGAACTTAGCTGGTCGGCGAATTGTACGCCCTGCTCGCTTTACATAACCATCAAAGTTAACTTCCTCCTCTTCGCTGATGTCATCTAACTGGGGTCGTAGGGTGGGAGGTCGCACGTACAGGATCGTCCGTCGTCGTAGGATCAGGTTGTAGTGCGGCTGGTAACTGGGGTCGAAAAGTGAACTGCGTAGTCGGCGGATGTGTCTCTGGATTTAGCAGTGTTGCAGACGTTGAGACGAAGCCTGGAGCAGAGCAGAGAGCTGAGTGAGGCCGGAGTCGTGGAGCTCTATGTGGGAGAGCGTGGCGGCTCGATTGAGAATTGTGAGTGTCTAAACTCGGGGAGCGAGAGCGTGGCAGCTCGATTGAGAATTGTGAGTGTCTAAACTCGGGGAGCGAGAGCGTGGCGGCTCGATGCGGTCGTAGTCTGCTGTCTGCTCTGTGTCGAAGCTGTAGCGTCTTGGGTTGATTAGGACTGTACACGCCGAGTACTACATTGTTGACTGTGGAAATTGTAGTCTGGTACTAAAAGATGTAGGCAGTGTGTGGACAAGCTCGGTGTAGCAGGAGAGAAGAATGTGCATAATTGTTGCGTCCTTGGGTCGCTGGTGGAGCATTTAGATCCGGGGCGGATGGGCTCGGGCACCAGGACATTAGGAGGTAATGTAGGCACGTAGTTAGGACAACGAGGGAATCACTGCTAGAGCTGAATTGTCCTGGAGGCGACGAAGAGTCGGAAACGCAAGCTGTAAGTCCTGTACTGCGCAAAGGGCTTGAGTCGGCAGAGTATCAAAATGCAGTGAACGTGTAGATGAATCTGACGAAAGAGCAGCTTTCGTGGGCGCCCCTGTAGAACAAGCAGTGCCCTGGCAGCGACGGAGAGTCGGCAGGGCAGGCTGTAGATCCCACATTATGTAGTTACTGATGAAGCTGCCAGATGAGTGAGTAGTGATCGTGGAGCAGCAAGCCGAAGTAGATGAAAATGCAGAGACGATCGCGATGAAAATCATAGCTGTGGCAAGAGTGTTGGCAACGTTCCATGACAGGTGGCTGTGGTCCACAGCAAGCAGCAGCAGTGGAGGTCCAGTGAGAGTCCATGTTGTAGTCCATCGTGGCTGGGTATCGTCGAAACTTCGTGAAGGTCGAAAATAGCCTCCATCTGCATGAACCAAAATTCTGGCTCATCTGCGTTGTATGCTGGAAACCTGGTAGATAAATCCATGACGAAGATCTAGTTTGTGACTAGGTGTTCTTTTTCACTCACTGGGTCACCAATGTAACGGTTCTATTGTTACGTAAAGTAACAATACAAATAAACACTGTGACAAATAAACACAGACACTAAGATACTATATATATATTTGGTCGAATATACAGAAGTACACCGGTGATACTTTGGTGTGAGTTGAGCGCACTAAGCGTCGGTACAGTATCTCGCAAGTGTCTGCTCTAGACCACACTTGAAAGTAGACTAGCCAATGTTCGCTACACCGCTGCTTATATTGCTCGGGCAACACCTCACCTCATTCATCTCCAAAGGTTGACAGGAATATTAACACTATATTTGGAGCGAGTATATTATTGGGATAATCTACTCGCTACAAATCTCTTTATGTATGTACCTTTACCTAAATAAAAATTATTATTATTATTATTATTATTATTATAAAGGCGAAGAGTTAGGGGTGACATGATAGAGGTTTACAAGTGGGTGAATGGACATAACAAAGGGGATATTAATAGGGTATTAAAAGTACATAAGAACATAAGAACATAAGAACAAAGGTAACTGCAGAAGGCCTATTGGCCCATACGAGGCAGCTCCTATTCTATAACCACCCAATCCCACTCATATACTTGTCCAACCCGCGCTTGAAACAATCGAGGGACCCCACCTCCACCACGTTACGCGGCAATTGGTTCCACAAATCTACAACCCTGTTACTGAACCAGTATTTACCCAAGTCTTTCCTAAATCTAAACTTATCCAATTTATACCCATTGTTTCGTGTTCTGTCCTGTGTTGATACTTTTAATACCCTATTAATATCCCCCTTGTTATGTCCATTCACCCACTTGTAAACCTCTATCATGTCGCCCCTAACTCTTCGCCTTTCCAGTGAATGCAACTTAAGCTTTGTTAATCTTTCTTCATATGAAAGATTTCTAATTTGGGGAATTAACTTAGTCATCCTACGCTGGACACGTTCAAGTGAATTTATATCCATTCTATAATATGGCGACCAAAACTGAACTGCATAATCTAAATGGGGCCTAACTAGAGCAAGATATAGCTTGAGAACCACACCAGGTGTCTTGTTACTAACGCTGTGATTAATAAATCCAAGTGTCCGATTTGCCTTATTACGAACATTTATGCATTGATCCTTTTGTTTTAAATTCTTACTAATCATAACTCCCAGATCCCTTTCGCAATCCGACTTCGCAATCACAACACCATCTAGCTCGTATCTTGTAACTCTATCATCATTACCTAACCTCAGAACTTTACATTTATCAGCATTAAACTGCATCTGCCAATCCTTTGACCATTTCAAAACCCTATCTAGATCAACTTGAAGTGATAGTGAGTCCTCCTCCGAATTAATTTCCCTACCGATTTTCGTATCATCGGCAAATTTGCAAATGTTGCTACTCAAACCTGAATCTAAATCATTTATATATATTATAAACAACAGAGGTCCCAGGACAGAGCCTTGAGGCACTCCACTTACAACATTTTCCCACTCTGACTTGATTCCATTTATACTAACTCTCTGTTTCCTTTGGTATAGCCATGCCTTTGGTATAGCCATAGCTATACTTTGGTATAGCAAAGTATCAACACAAGACAGAACACGAAACAATGGGTATAAATTGCATAAGTTTTGATTTAGGAAAGACTTGGGTAAATACTGGTTCAGTAACAGGGTTGTTGATTTGTGGAACCAATTGCCGCGTAACATTGTGGAGGTGGGGTCCCTCGATTGTTTCAAGCATGGGTTGGACATGTATATGAGTGGGATTGGGTGGTTATAAATAGGAGCTGTCTCGTATGGGCCAATAGGCCTTCTGCAGTTGCCTTTGTTCTTATGTTCTTATGTTCTTATGAAATCTACCGCCCCTGGGGAGGATGGAGTAACTTATGAAATACTTAATGAACTTGCCATTATGACGAAAAGCCCACTTTTAGACCTCTTTAATATTAGTTATAAAGAGGGCAGTATTCCCAGTAAATGGAAAAAAGCTATGATCATCCTTATCCCTAAAGCCAATGGAGAGTACAGACCTGTGTCTTTAACCTCGTGTTTTTGTAAAATGATGGAGAGGATCATTTTAAATAGACTTTTATATATAATAGGTGATCAGCTGTCTAGTAATTTGTTGAGCCACTATTACGCAAAGCGTTTCGGGCACTTGAGTCCCATACATGCAAGCTCGATCAGGATTGCAATCCCTTATGCCTTATCAAATGCTCCTTTGATGTCAACAAACACAGAATACTTAGCTATGTCATTTGCTAAATAATTATGCAATTAGTTGTGCTCTGCCCTTTAACAAATCCATTAAGCCCTGCCTCTAGTTCCTTTACATAATCCTCATACCCCTTCAAAGTGCTATATATAGTCATACTGGTTTAGCGCTTCCTCCTGATAATTACCTTATCTTACATTTCATTTCTCGTGAACCTTATGGCATGTCCAATTTATTTTAATAAAAGTAATCCCTTGGTTTTTTATTTATTTGTTTTGTTTTTGTTTTTAAAGTTTAATGACTCAGATATGAAGCTCCGAGATTTCTTCTAAAGTTCCATCGTGTTTCCCCTTTTATTTAAGTCAGATATTAAAAATAAAAACTCAGACTTATTCGTATACGTATATAATCATTAATATCAAAATATTCAGTTTACTGTATATTAATGTTAAGAAATTTAAATATATAAATCAGCCCATCTTGTGGCTGTACATTAGTCTCTCACGTGATTGTTTACTATTATCATATGATCGGGCCAAACCTCCCCTGCTATGGTAAAGTTACATCGTTTAGTGCTGTTTTCTCAGGGAGGAGGTGTGATGCGGCCCTCATATATCTCTTACAGAATGTATAAGCCAAAGTTGGTCTGCTGTTTTGTTAAAACAGCAGATTTTCTGTAGAAATATAGTGAAGAGTGAAGTGTCGCGTTTAAAGGTCTTTCCTCGACACTGTTCTTGTTCTAATCTAAGCCAAATATTGAATGGGTTTCTGATTTGTTATGTTAGAAATGGAGAAACAAGTAGCATGATAGAGAATTAACACCATATGATGAGGTATTTAAAGTGTTAAAAAAGGTTAATATTACAGTTGCATGTATAGTTAACAATATGGCTTAAAGGGTGCCATGTGGGTCATCTCTTGTTGGAGGTTCTTCACATATGGATATTAAAACCTACCTTTACCATTGATATGTTGTAAGAATGTGTGATGCTTATTGCATTGTGTGGTTGTTTAAAAGTTAACAAGTATGAAAAATGCAGATTTTAAGGTGAGAATGAACAAAAACCAGTTTGTGATCTGCCTGAGCTCAGTATGACACTTTCCAAGTCAATATGCTGTGATGGCATGATGTCCAGGGTGATAATATTTCTTGTTACATTTACCATCTTTGTTTTGTCCTCTTTATTAGGTGCAGTGTATGTAGTCACCATCCATTTTATAGTTGAATTTGTTCGTTCATTATCCTCCCCATACCCATTCTGTGAGTCAGTAGTGGACATCACACCTGTCCTGTGGGCGATAGTTGAAAGGTTTACAGAGGCACATAATAGGCTCAGGAACTGAACCTCAAATTCATTTAACTAATCAAGCTACAGTGTAATAAGCTAGTTACACAATGTATATGACGATAGTCTATTTTATAGCACCATTGGTTCAAGATCTAGACCATTACAGTCTCTCAATTGAATAATATACATCTGGTGAACCATTTATATATATTCCAATTATACATCCCACACCCATCCAATGGGCAGCAGTAAAAAGTTTACAATCATGTGCATGCACTACCCCATAGTAAAGAGACCTTGGATGTTTGATTAAGATTTCTGGTAGTACTGAGTACTGTACCTCATTTTGAAGGAAATGTTTCCACATTTCTTGATCACCTGTAATAATTGTCTCTCACTTCTTATATTTTCTTACATAGTGACGTAAGGTATGTGAACAGTTCTGCTGACAAAGTTTACATTTAGTCTACATTTAGTCAGATCCACTTCGGCAGATGGTGAAAACTTCCAGTGGTGCTTGTAGCAGTAGTAAAATCTAGAAGTTTGCTGATCTTACTGGATGACTCATAGATGTGTGTGATGATACTGTAGTTGGAATCATTAGTGGAAATTTCAGGTCTGGTAAATCTTGTTGCAGTTTTTAGTATATTACAGTCCTCAGGCTGCTCAAAGGCAATACAAGTTGGTAATCAACTCCCTCATTAAGACCACATGATTTGGCTAACTTATCAGTTCTATCATGCGTTTGAAGGCCAATATGAGATGAGATCCATAGGAGACTCAGGAGCTCGGTTATTTGGGACCAAATCATGGTTCTTTGGTAAAGGTTATGCAGTATACTTATTTGCATTATAATAACATGTGAATTAGATGGCCTTGGAATTTGTTTTTGAGAGCACTGTATACCAACTTTTAACTCTTGTAATAGTAGTAGGCATCCATCAGTCTCAGGAGACTATGGATTTGCGCTCTGGTTGTAGGTCTGGAGTGGCCTTTCCAGGGCGCAAAGTCAGGTTAGGTTGATGAGAAGCGGCAGGTCCTCCCTCTCCATGGCACCGAAAATCTCCAATGGAAAGGCAAATTCCAATACGATTGGTTCCAGTGCCCTCGCAGGAACTGTGAGCTCCAGAATTGACATTGAAGTTGGTGAAAGAAGGCACAGGGACTCCAAACCCGGAGACTGCTGTGGTCGGGGCCGGAGAAGAACCACCCCATCAAGGGCAAGAACAACCCCAGCCTCCTGAAACAGAGCCGATGCCGCACGAGTCCCAGGAGGTGGACGTCCCAGTCCCGCACCTACGGGTTCCAGACAGAGATTGTCACAGCCCCCTTTCACCTAAGGCCCGGCTTCCTTCAAGACCAAGCAGAAGGAAGAGTGATAATTATTATTATAATTATTATCATAATGTTAATATAATTTATTAATAATTATCACTCATTTTCTTGGTCAAGATATATGTTTTAGGATGATGGAAAATGTTAGGTTTGGTCAGAAAATGTAGGCATGAATATATATATTTTTAACCGTGTAACTCTTGTAACACGGTTAAAAATATGTTTATGCCTACATTTTCTGACCAAGCCTAACATTTTTCATTATCCTAAAACATTTATCTTAACCAAGAAAATGATTGTTAAAAGTTCAGCTTTCAGTTTTGATTTCAGCATGAAGTATTCATATTTTGCTTTAACCCATGCACCTACTTAACCACTATGTTGATAACCTAGCATGATTTCAGTTTTGTGTATCTAATTGTTGTTTAAATAGCTTAAGGTAAGGTCACAATTACTCAGTCAAATGCAGAGCACTGCCTCCTGCACTTAAATATACAGTGTATACGGTATTGAACATATAAGACCTGCATCATTGGATAAAACAAAACCATAAAAATGCCAGGAACTTTAAATAATGTCTACCACAATAGCATTTTGAAATATGAAAGGTATCTTAAAAATAAAAAATGCAGAACTTTAGTTTATATAAGTGAGTGCATGCTACTAATAAAAATGTTAAGAAATTTTCTAGGATTGTCAAATTGTACAGAAATGCTATATATTTTATTTTATTCATTTTGGTTTTCTTGTGGATGTAAGCATTATAAACTATAGAATGACAGGCAATATCTAGACATGTGCATTGCTGTACAGTAATTGTAAAAACCACCAAAACTACATTCTTCAGATCAATTGAAAATGCCACCAAAGCATACCGATACTCCATGCTACCTCGTACAATGCATTAATATTAGATCTTAATGCTCAGTGAGTCCCCTTGATATAAGCCATCAAATATTTGGGTTGCCAATGCCAGTGGCTGTGCTAGTGTTGAGTCATGTGAAGATTGGACCATGCAGGTATGTATATCATTAGAATGTTGCCTAATGGAATGAAAGGCAGGTGGGGGTATAGTGTGGATCATAATTCTGTATACAGTACAGTACATATATAGATTTAAGGCCCCAGTAGTACAGTCGTCTACATTCTCAACTCATAATCAGGAATTCCAGGTTCAAATCCTGGTTGGGACAGAAATGGTTAGGCACATTCCCTATCACCTGGTGTTTCTGTTCACCTAGCAGTAAATAGATACCCAGAAGTTAGTCAGCATGTTGTGGGGGGGGGTTGCATCCTAGTGAGGGTCAGTAATTCGACCATGGGGGGACTTCGATATAAGCCTAGCATGTCTATATATATACATTGGCTGCCTGTTCCCTGACACAATGAATTACAGTACTATTATTATTAAATTCTTTTACTAATAGGTGATACTGTATAACTTTCTGGTTGAACACTGGCAACTGAGTGGCAAAATACCTCACAAGCACTATAGGTTCAGCTTCCTGCATATTTTGGTTAATATCACAGTAAATATTAAATTTATTGACAAGATTATTTTCATTTTATAGACCAACATATCTTCTTTCCATTCATGCCATAAGCATTTCTAAAACATTTTTAATTGTAAACGCAAAACTTCAGATCTGAAAATAATGGAAATGATTGTTTCGGTCCATCCTGGAGTACTATCAAGTTGTGAAATAATTATTTTCAGATTTGTGGGTTGGGTGACTAATTTTCAGCCACGGTATTGTGATATACAGTTTATAAATTGTATTTGTATAGCCAATTTGAACTTGACCTCCTTGTGTATTTTTTTGTATGTGATTGTCAACACCAATGCACATCAAATTAAAAGTATATACAGTACAGGGTATTTATATACAGGTATGTATGTATGTAGGTATGCATGTACTGTATGTCTATTAATTTACCGGGCATGTTGTTGCAAATGTGGAAAGAAATCAATTAGTGGCTGGACACTGTCAGAGCCACTAATGGTGCACTCGTAAAAGTTAGCTGTCATCAGGAAAAATTATTGCAATTTGAATGTAGTATTGTATAGATCTGTTTTAAAACACTATATAAATTTAATATGAATTGAGATGCTAGTTTTTTATATATACAGTATATAAGAATAAGTTTTGTGGGGGGTAACAAAATATTGTAATCTAGAAATGCTGTTGTTTTTCCAGGCTTCATACAGTCAAGAGGATGACGAACACTACCGTGGGGAGTTTGGGGCTGGCTATGTGGTGGGATCTTTTCCAAAGGATTTTGTGTATGGACCAGATGACCCTGACCAGGATATGACTCTCATCTTTGCACCAGATCAAAAACCGAAAATTTTACTCATGGGACTTAGAAGGCATGTAAAGTAATAGTCTGTTTGGGCAGTTTATATGCCTGTATGTATTGATGCCTGTATGGAAAATACTGTATCGTATTGTACATACTTCTTGTCCAGATAGTTTGTGTTTCTCAGCTCTGTTTACAGATCTGCCTGTGAAGAAAATGTATACAATACTATAGTGTGTATATATATTTAGGTCTTTGAAATTGAATACACAAGGATTATGCACATTGCCCACATAGGTGAAGCTGTTAATGTATGCAGTGTGCATACATATAATGTATGTATATGTATGCAGTGTGCATACATATAATGTATGTATATGTATGCAGTGTGTAAATGGTCATTACAAAACTGCTGGTACTGATAATGGGTAAATGTCGAATCAGTATTTGGCTCTGCTTGAACACACTTTATGAATATGGCTAGCTAGCATGGCACTACCTGAATAGAACATGAAACATTGGACACAAATTGGATAAGTTTAGATTCAGGACAAACCTGGATGAATACTGGTTGAAAATAGGGTTATTGATTTAATTTAGGAACAGATTACTAGAAAGTGGGAACACAGATTACTAGGACAGTGGGAACACAGAATTGTTTTAGGGTGTAAACAGGAGCTACGTCCCATGGGCCAATAGACCTTTTGCAGTTTCCTTTATACATATTTTCTTGTGTACATTTTCATGTGCTTTGAATTGATAGCACATATTATGCATATGGTTCAGTAAGTATGACCTTTAGGAGTAAGATAATATAAATTTAAACTTAACTGTACTCGTCAGTAATGCAGTGGGGGCAGTTTTTGAATTGTGGTTAATTCATTATAATAATACAACCCATCCTCCCATTTACATAATACTCTTTGTAACTATGTGGACAATTGAAATTGAAATACAGTAAGTTTATTGAGGTAAAATACACAGAAAGGGATGAGGTAGCTGAAGCTATTCTCACCCCGTTCAGTACAACGTGTTCATAGATATATAGACACACATCACAAACAATAAACATATTGGCAAACATTCTGAGAAATAAATATATACATTTCCTCCTTTACACAAGTAGTATGGTATTAGACGTACACACAAATACTTTTATGATTTAGGTATACTTTATAGACAATTTGCAGGAGACATGCAGATAATTCAACAAAAGATTACAGTCTTGGTGCAAAATTCTTATATCTCTCCAGAATACATAACAATAAACATCTGTAACCCTGTTTCTTAAACCATTAACATTCCATGACAACATTTCAGTCTAGGGCAATCCATTATTAATCAATTCACTTTCTAAGTTATCCCCAATAAGTTTACTAAATGATAGCCATACCTTATATAACATCTCCCACCTCCTCCCAACTTCACCAGTAAAAGCAACATTGCTTTTCTCAAGAAATTTTTTCAGTCCCGTGACGTCCATTATTGGCCCAAATGATTCCTTCATTTTATGTTTAATTATAGAGTTCTTCCTTTCACTATGACTACCATCAATTACACACACTTCACTTTCCTTCATTTCATCACTCATTGTTGCATTATTATCCTCAACCACTATTTCCTGACATTCCTTCACTGTTTTGTGACTTTCCTTAACCATCACCTGAATGTTTAATTTCGCCTCGATGGACTCGATTCTCTGCCCAAGATTTCGGAGGAACTCACCAACTTTTCTTAGTTCAGCCCACACCTCTTTGACCATACCATTATGGCCCTCTTTCTGAGCCCCAGTAACCACTTCACTCACCATTACATTGTCACTGCCGGAGTCCTGAGTGGTGGCGTGGCTGCTTGTTGCTTGAGCCTGATGAAGTAAAGGTGACTCCTTTGCCCACGCATTCGTCCAGTTCACTGGCGCTGTTTGAAGCAGACTGTTCTGCTGTGCTCCCGGTGTCTGGGTAAGAGCTCTTGCCTGCTCTGTAACATTCACCGGTCAGGGAACATCCATACTCGGCCTCTTGCTACACACAGCTGAGCTGGCATTGTGAACACCTCCACAGTTGCAGCATCTGGGAACTATTTTCTCACTCAGATTAAGTCTGTTTCTACACACATTAGAGAGGTGAGACTTTCCGCAGAAACGACATTGTGGATCATGTTTACAGCTCCAGGATTTATGCCCCCATCTGCAGCATTTCAGGCATATTATGGGCTCTTCTACATACTTTGCTACATGCCTGTAGCCAGCCCCGGTGATGAACACTCTCTCGGGAACTTCACCTCTCACTAGAGCCACCACCAGATTCCTAGCTTCACCTTTAATAAGGTGATGCTTGGTCCACACAAATCGTTGGTCGTCGAGGATGAATTCAGGGTCTAGAATCTGAGGGTATTTGTAGATAATTACCTTCGCCAGCTTCTTGTTCTCCTCCGGTATTTGCATAACAATTCCTTCATATCCTTGCTGGGTAAGAAACACAACTGCCTCCATAGATCCTACCGTTAAGTAAGGTCTGTTCACACTTTCCTTCAGCAGGGGCTCGAACTTGCGGTGCTCTCTTCCAAGTTTGACTGTCCACAGCAGTTTGTGGTGGTAGGCCAGTGTGCATGAGGCAGGGAAGAGAAGCCTCCACCTCCGCTGACCCTCACCTTCCTGGTGTCGTTCTGTCCTTTCGTTGACACTGGTTTCAGAAACTTTAATGGGGTCATCATAACTTCAGCCACATTATTGTGACTCATCGTCTGCACAAGAAACTAAATGTGCAGAAAAATAATGACAAATTTTAGTTTTGTTATCGTGTCTTGATGCCTTGGTCTATCGGAGAACTACTGTTCTTTGAGAAGCCTCAGAGTTTTCCAAAATGTTTTTAGGTGTTTTGCATATTATAGGCCTAAGACTTTTAAAGGAGCATTTACTGTATTTGTCAGAACCTTACACATCCTAGTTTGGCTATTATATAAGGTTCTGCCTTCACCACTTTTGAAGGCAGAACCTCAATACTGTGTTTATGAGTCAATGCATGAATATTCAGGATTTTTGAAGACACATGTGTTTGACAATTATGTCTCCAAGTTGGTCATTTTGTAAGTGAATGTAGTTACTTCTTTAACAGGCAGAAACTCAACAACCAGTAATTATAGCTTAAATAATTGGTGTGTTATGATAACATTGTAATATATAATGTAATTTATATTGGAAAGATTATTATTTCAATTATTGAATTATAAATGTTGTACTTTTCTGTAATATTTTCTCAGTGATTTATCTTGTTTTGTCTTTTTAGGAGTGGAAAGTCATCAATACAGAAGGTTGTGTTTCACAAAATGACACCAAATGAAACGCTCTTCTTAGAATCCACAAACAAAATTGAATCTGAAAATATATCAAATTCCTCATTTGTCCAATTCAAGATTCTTGATTTTCCCGGACAGATTGATTTTTTTGAACCATCCTTCGATTCTGAGAAGATTTTCGGAGGGCATGGAGCACTTGTATTTGTTATAGATGCTCAGGTATAGTCAGCCATATTTATGTATCTCTCAATTCAATTTCTTTCTTTATTATGCACCCCATATCCATCCGTGGGCGGTGGTGGAAAGGGTTACAAAGGCACATGATCGGTTCAGGTACTGAACCCATAGTTCGTTTAGCTAAGCAAGTGACATTCTCATGAAGCTAATTAAACAATTGTTAATGTTACATACTTGTGTGTGTGTGCATGCACGTGTGTATGTACGTATGTATGTGTGTGTATATATATATATATATATATATATATATATATATATATATATATATATATATATATATATATATATATATATATATATATATATATATATATATATATTTCACAAATACACAACTGATTAGAACTTACGTATCTCTGCTATTATATCTACATTTGAGTGAGGTGGGAGGGATGATGTGGCATATAGTGATGTGGCATTAACACAAGACAGAACATGAGGGGATATTAATAGGGTATTAAAAGTATCAACACAAGACAGAACAGAAACAATGGGTATTGAATAGAAGTGTTTGTAGAAAGCCTATTGGTCCATATTTCTTGATGCTTCTATATTGGAGCGGAGTCTTGAGGTGGGTAGAATATAGTTGTGCAATAATTGGCTGTTGATTGCTGGTGTAGATATACAAGGCAGAGAATGAAATCAAAGACAACAAAACGCAACTACTTCATGCTACAAACGAGTGGAGAAATAGCAACATCGACCTTAGTATCCGTACCCGCATTGAACAACACCTCGACATCCTCACAGACCAACATCACCTCAGCACTGAAACAAGGATTATCAAGAAACTAACAACATTATATGGAGGACCTATGACAATTCCACGACCAAGAGATGGCTTCCTGAACCTTGCAGGAATTAACCTCACTGAGGACCAAGTCACTCTCCTAAATCTGGGCATAAACTGTCATGTTATGTCCAGACCGAGTGAAATGGCCCGGAAAGTAGAGTTGGAAATTCTGTTGGACGACATATTCGACCTCGAGACACAAAAGAAGGTCACTACCAAAGATACCTTACAAGCAGAACTTATTGCAGAAGGAGGAAAGAATCGAGGCAACTACAGAAGCACCATACTGTCCCCCGAGCTTAAAGCGGCAGCTAAAAGCCTTCGTGAGAACAAGGAGATAGTTGTCAGGAGAGGTGACAAGTCGCCAATATATGTCATTCTTAAAAAAGACGAATATCTGGCGAAAATGAACATCATACTCTCTGACCAAACTAAGTTCCAAAGGGTAACGAAGGACACTACAGCCGAATTAAAAGCAAAGGTCAACAAACTGATCGAAACTGTGAACGCCAAGAAATCCGGACTCCACCTGCCAAAGATCATTGGGGAATATAAACCTGGATATGCGTATGGAAATGTCAAGACGCACAAGCCTGGAAACCCACTTCGGCCAATCATTAGCCAGATACCCACACCCACGTACAGACTGGCGAAGCGACTCAACGGCCTGCTGACTCCTTATGTTCCTTGCGCCTTCAGCCTGAAGTCTCCAAAGGAATTTGTGGACTTACTGCGGGGCACACGGGCCACAGGGATAAGAGCCTCGTTGGACGTAGAATCGCTGTTTACCAACGTACCTGTGGACGAGACAATCGGAATGATAGCCGACAGAGTGTATCGTGATCCAGCCTGTACTCCTCTTGACATGCCAGAAAGTATTCTGAGGAAACTACTCCAAGCTTGTACTAAAGAGGCACCCTTCTTGAGCCCGGATGGGCACATGTATAAGCAAGTAGATGGTGTCGCCATGGGTTCTCCCCTAGGTGTCCTGTTTGCAAACTTCTACATGGGTACCATCGAGCAAAAAGTCTTAGTCGACATGAACTTGAAACCGGCCATATACTGCAGGTATGTTGACGACATTTTTACACAGGTACCTGATGTCAGACATCTGCAGGAGCTGAAGGAGGCATTTGAGCAGAGTTCCGTGCTGCGTTTCACTTACGAGACGGAAAAGGAAGGGAAGCTGCCTTTTCTAGATGTAACAGTCATGGAAAAGGGCGGAGGTTTCCACACTGCAGTCTACACTAAGGAAACAAACATAGGAATGTGCCTAAATGCCAACAGCGACTGCCCTGACAGGTACAAGAGGAGTGTTGTTAACGCATACGTCGACCGTGCTCTCAGCCACAGCTCAGAATGGAAGCAAGTCGACGAAGAACTCTGTAGGGTAAGGCAGGTTCTAGTCAATAATGGCTTCTCCAATGGTTTCATCGAAGACATCATAAGAAGGAAAGTGAAAAGCCATGCAACCTCTGAAGAGACAACTAACACAACACCTATACCCCCTATTAGACTATTTTACAGGAACTTCTTTTCCACAGCTCATAAAACGGAGGAAAGGGTCCTGAAAGATATTGTTAATAGAAACGTTATCCCTACAGACAAAATCAGAGGATACAACTGACGATTTACTATAAAACCAGAAAAACGGCCAGCCTACTCATGAGAAACTCTCCAGACACAAAACAGAACGCTTTAAAAGAGACTAACGTCGTCTATGCCTTCAAATGCCCACTTGGGGACTGTAAGCTCCAAAAAACCCAGTATATAGGCAAGACAACAACATCTCTTTCTAGGCGTTTAACGATGCATAAGCAACAGGGCTCCATTAAGGAACATATAATCTCTTCCCATAACCAAACCATCGCCAGAGAAATCCTAGTAAACAACACAGAAATCATCGATAGATACAGCGATAGCAGGCAGCTTGACGTTTGCGAGGCACTACACATCAAGAAGTCAACACCAGCAATCAACAGCCAATTATTGCACAACTATATTCTACCCACCTCAAGACTCCGCTCCAATATAGAAGCATCAAGAAATATGGACCAATAGGCTTTCTACAAACACTTCTATTCAATACCCATTGTTTCTGTTCTGTCTTGTGTTGATACTTTTAATACCCTATTAATATCCCCTCATGTTCTGTCTTGTGTTAATGCCACATCACTATATGCCACATCATCCCTCCCACCTCACTCAAATGTAGATATAATAGCAGAGATACGTAAGTTCTAATCAGTTGTGTATTTGTGAAGTCTTTGAAAATGTAATAAGTTTTACGAAACGCGCCCGTGTCGCGTCAGACTAGAAATAAAAATGAATTTTGGAGAAGTGATTTTTTATTTACCTCCAACAGTGAAGCGTAATGTACGAAAGATTGAGAAAATTCGTGTTAGAATTATTAATCTTACTTTTTCGGTCATATTTAATAATATATATATATATATATATATATATATATATATATATATATATATATATATTTTTTTTATGCCACAACCAACTTAACTCTTATATATATATATATATATATATATATATATATATATATATATATGTCATACCTAGTAGCCAGAACTCACTTCTCAGCCTACTATGCAAGGCCGATTTGCCTAATAAGCCAAGTTTTCATGAATTAATATTTTTTTCTACCTAATTTTTTACCTGAAATGATAACCTAATCCATTTCCTTATGTATAGGTCAATTTTTTTTATTGGAGTTAAAATTAACCTGACCAAACCTAACCAACCCTACCTACCTAAGGTATCTTTATAGGTTAGGTTCGGTTAGGTAGCCGGTTGGTTAGGTTCGGTTAGGTTAGGTATGTTAATTTTAACTCCAATAAAATAAAATTAACCTCATACATAATGAAATGGGTAGCTTTATCATTTCATAAGAAAAAAATTATAGAAAATAATTAATTTGAAAACTTGGCTTATTAGGCAAATCGGGCCTTGCATAGTAGGCTGAGAAGTGAGTTCTGGCTACTAGGTACGACATATATATATATATATATATATATATATATATATATATATATATATTTATTTATTATATATATATATTATTTATTTTTTTATTTAACTTAACTCCATGCCTTTAACTGAACAAGTCTTATGTGGGTGGGGACGTGGACAGGTTAACTAGTTTAACAGTTACTAGGGATGATGTTATTAAACAAATAGTGAAACTCAAACCGAACAAATTTCCAGGGCTGGACGACGTGTCACTCTTAATGTCACACTTTCCACCTAGCCAAAATATTTATTTTTATTGCATCACCATCAAAGAATGTAATCAAAATCAGATTTTATACAAAGCAGTATCTTCATAAAGTCTCAGAAAGGTTCAAATTTAGACCAGTTCTAGTCATATTTAATAAGAGTTATGGCTATTCAGATATACAGATTTGTTCTTTTGACCGAATTTCTTGGGAGAGCCAAAGGAATTGCTTATATGTGCTCGTGCATTGTGTCAAGATGTGTGGTAGGATAAAATCTGTAAATTTTCAGAATTATTGGGTTTTACAGAAAATTTAATTTTGTTCGTGACGATAAAGTTTCTAATTTGGTTTCAGGATGATTATATGGAAGCATTAAACAGATTACATCAGACTGTTCTACGAGCACATAAGGTCAACCCAAATCTGAGATTTGAAGTATTCATCCACAAAGTTGACGGCCTCTCTGATGACACCAAGATTGAGACCCAACGGGATATACACCAGAGAGCGAATGATGAACTTGTTGATGCAGGTGATATAACTGAAGCCCTTTATTATAAATGTTGTCCATTTGTTGTGTGCTTGCTGTCCTATTGTATGTGTTCTAGAAGGAATTCCTCAGGTCTAATAGATCTCCAAACCCAGAAGGCCTAAACCCAGACCTCTTAAGTAATGGGTCCTGGTGGTTCAGTACCTGGTCAGTGCGTCTGGTTCCTATCTGGCTTTTACTGAGCCGGGCATGTTGTCGTAATTTAAAACTCGAGAAATGTTCAATCGCCCTGAATTCTGCTCAGAAATAATGCTCAAGAGTCATACAGTATTTCCGATAGGCATCGTATTTTGAAAACTGCAGGGGGGGCTTTGGACAAAATATGACAAATCTTGGTTTTACTTCTTTGCATTTTCCTGTACGTATAAAAAGTCGTAATTTAAAACATCAAATATGTGCAATCATCCTGCACGGGGCCTCGTAGCCTGGTGGATAGCACGCAGGTCTCGTAATTCTGTGGCGCGGGTTCGATTCCCGCACGAAGCAGAAACAAATGGGCAAAGTTTCTTTCACCCTGAATGTCCCTGTTACCTAGCAGTAAATAGGTACCTGGGTGTTAGTCAGCTGTCACGGGCTGCTTCCTGGTGGTGGAGGCCTGGTCGAGGACCGGGTTGCGGGGACACTAAAAAAAGCCCCGAAATCATCTCAAGATAACCTCAAGAATCCTAAATTATTCTAGAAAATAACCGTCAATGGTCATAGTTCCAAAATGCATCATATTTCTTAAACTGCAGGACAATTTGAGCAAAATATGATAAATCTACCTTAGGTTAGGTTACAATAGGTCAGGTCAGATTACTTAAGATTTTTTGAAAACTTACTTACAGTATTTTACATTGATGTCTGCGGCCTGAAAAGTTCATATTTGAAATATTAAGGTATTTCACTCTCTTTTTATATACCCCTAGAGTCACATGGCATGTTAGTAATTGTGGTTTATTGTGGAAATATTGCGGTGGTTTGTTAAGTATTGTTGGTTCGACGTTTGTGTGTAGGTTTGTATAATGATTTTGTAAATTACTTGCATTAGATGTGTGAGCTATTTTTAAAATAAGTGGTATATAAATGGATAGAATGTTGTAGATTTGCCAATTGATTTGTTGAAATAAAATAGTTGATAAATAATTGGGTTAGTTTTTTTATGGAGTTGAGTTACATAAATGATAATGTTAACAGAGGAGTTTTGATTTTCACTTGTAATTTGTTATTGATAGTGCTTTCAAATGGTGTAGTTGAGTTATGAAACACAAAGATTTCTTGTTTATCTAATTGATTTTTGTGTCTGTTGCACGAATTTACATGCATTTACAACAAAATTAGAGGTTAAAAAGAGTGTGACCATATGTGGCATTTACAACAAAATTAGAGGTTAAAAAGAGTGTGACCATATGTGGTGGTGGCGAGTGTTGCAATCGAGTGACCATTGTTTTTTATGAGGAAGTATGCATGGGAGCACCGAGTTTCACTTATAATTTACCATTTAGCTTTAAAATGACGTAGTTATGTTATAAAACATGTAGATTAGAGGTTTATCTAATTGATTTGAGTATTGGTTGTATTGATTCACACACATTAACAACAAAATTCAATGTACAAATTGGGTTTGCCACTTTAGTTTAGTTTACCCATAAGTGCTTGCATGCAAGCACTTGTGCATGACTGCATGAATATGTTATGCATTCTAAGAAAGTAGATGTTATTTTAATAAATTTTTATTTTGGTCTTGGGAGTGGTAATGAATTTAATGATGGAAGGAGTATCTTGGAGATTCTTTTCATATTGTGGAAACAAGAAATCACCATTTTTCGAAAAGCGAACCCTAAGTGACCAACACACGAATAGGGTTAGTGGTTCATTTCGCCATGCACCTGGGTCAAGCCCTGACTCTTTTTCCTTCGACTTCGGCGCGTCCTCTCACCTGCTTCTTTTCAGCTATACTCACTTCAGACATGTCCCATGGGAATCTTGTCCTGTGTCTAGTCTAAGTCTACGATGGCAGGAAGGGGAGGTGTGGCAACAGGCAGGCCAGTTAGTAGTTATGCTCTGTGAGCACTTGTGGTGTAGCTTTGGTGTTTTTTAATTATTTCTGTTTGGGGATTGTTCAAATATGTCTTGCCCTGGGGTCAGATTTCCTGACTCAGGTTCTCTTCTTCAAGGTTGTAATCTTTGCTCTTCTCCTCCCTGGTAAATCCCATATTTCCTTCTGCTCTGTAGTTAGCTACAGGAAGCTACCATTTGACCCCTCCAGAAAACCAGCATCAAATGTAATAAATGGCCCCTTTCTAGTTGGGCCTCGGTGACTCCTTGGTCGCTCTTTCCCTTCTACGTGCCTCGGTGTGTGGTTTACAACTCTGACCATGAGGGCTGTTGACATGGGGAGCTGTAGCTCTCATGGTGGTGCAACCTAGCTGCGGAGAGCTGGAACTAAGGGGGCTTCAACCTAACTACCAAGTGAATTGTTTGCTTAGTCATTTGCTACTTCATTTCTTTTCTTGCTGTGAACCTTGCAGTTGTCTGTTTTGCTTCACTTACTTTCTTGATGTTTCCTTGGTGAGGGTGATCATAACAATGCTCTGCTCCCTATGCCTCTGTGAGAAGGCCAGGTTCTGGCTCTGGTCTCCAGTAGGCCAGTAGAACTCCAAAGGCAGATGTGACTTATATGTGGAACTATCTTAATGATCAAGTTACAGGGAGCCACCAATATCCAACCAGAAAGAGGCGTTTCATTACATTCAACTCTAATGAACAAATCCACAAGGGCAGTGACGAGGATTCGAACCTGCGTCTGGGAGCATCCCAGACGCAGGTTCGAATGATGCTCCTGTGCCAGGTAAGTTACGGGCTCACCATAGCCCGTGCTACTTGGAGCTTGTTCCGAGTAGCTGAATCTATAACAACAACAATTCTAATAACTAGGAACTGTCCATCTTATATGTTTAAAGTTGCCAGAGTGATACACCTCGGCTCTTGCACAAGTCCCATAAAATTGGGCTTATGAGAATCTGAAGCAGACAGTTTTCTTTGACCGAGGGTGTTACAAATTTTGTTTAACCTATTACTTCTTTTTAGATATCTTTCATACTTGTAAATGTAAAACACTTATATATTTTATGTTTCCAATAACTAGGTAAACATTTTTGTTGCTTATCTTATGGTACTATTTGGCTTGTCGAAGTAACTTTCATATTTGCAGGCATGGAACAGATTCATCTGAGTTTCTACCTTACATCTATTTATGACCACAGCATATTTGAAGCCTTCAGTAAAGTTGTGCAGAAGCTAATACCACAGCTTCCAACCCTTGAAAATCTCCTCAACATATTTATATCAGTAAGTTTAAAATATTATTTATTAATTTTGAAAATTTTGAAAGCAAAATAACCAACCACTTGCCTATTTTACCATAATTTCTCAAAATACGTGGTCGTACTCTTGGCGCCACGTCATTAACAATATTGTACTTGAAACACTTTATGGGGGACTAGCAGCTGGATGCTCCAGGAAATTTGTTACCATCCAGAGAGACCTTTCACCGTGGTGAATAACAGTGTCATAATGTTACCAAGTCTCTCTGACTGACTGAAATGTCTTACTGATTTTGGAAGTCATTTTAGTTTTGGATGCAGTTTGATTAAAATTTATTAAATAGTTTCTTGTTTTCTTTGCAAAAATACACTTGTTGAGCTATTGAATATAGTTGGCCCTAAAGTCAAATCTGTTGTGTACTCTGGACAAGGGTTACGGCATTTAGGGGATTTTCTTTGGCACCAGTGCCAGAAACTTAAAGTTCAAGTGGTCTTTGAATGGAGCATTAAAAATGCCTGGACGGACACTGGAGTTATGCTGAGACTGCAGGACTCGTTGTCTTGCAGCTTGAGAAATACGATGCATTTTGGAAATATGACCCTTGACAGTTATTTAGAATGACGGACAAAAGTGCATCCCACAAATGAAGACGTGTAAAAGTTTTCCTTGGTAATCAAATATGACTGCCAGACAATGTCTCCACCTGAACAGCCCCTATACAAGTAGGCATTTACTGTATGTCTGTGGCATTTTCATTTTCTTTAATGTTTACTCTGAGCATTGTGTAATTCCTTTGGACACAATCATAAACCTAACCTGCTTTTATTATTTTGTTAAAAATTCTTGGTAATATGACTGCATTTTGTTTTGTAACTGCTGTAATCCCATGGGTGGTGTAGAACAATGGTCTGTATTCCTGGCTCACAACCAAGGGACTCTGGTACAATCCACAGGCAGGGCAGAAACACTTGGGCTCATTTCCTTTCACCTGATGCTGCTGTTCACCTAGCAGTAAAATAGGTATCTGGAAGTTAGGCAACTGTTGTGGGTTGTATCCTGAGTAAGGTCAGTAGTTGGCCTAGGGTGGCCTCGATACGCCTAAGTACAGTACAGGCTTCCTGTCCTCAAGTCTAGAAATTGTTTTATTTATATTGCTCATTATGCATTGAAGTACAGTACTGTACAGATTAAGCACTACTGCTGGATAGCAAATATGCATCGAAGTGTAGTTGGTAAACACTCCTCTACATAAGGGTGACTGATTAGAATTCCCTGTGGAAATATGACCTAACATTTCTTTAAAAGATTTTCAGCATATCACTAAACATTACTTGTATAAAATGGTTGCATACTGATAGGCTAGATATTAAATTGGCAATATCTTTGATTTCAGAACTCTGGTATAGAGAAGGCATTCCTCTTTGATGTACTCTCCAAAATCTACATTGCCACAGATTCCTCACCAGTGGACATGCAGAGCTACGAGCTTTGTTGTGAGATGATCGACGTTGTTATTGATATATCTGACATCTATGGGTAAGAAATTCAAGAGCCACATTTTGTAGTTTTTCATACGATGATACTTACATTAATTTTTTTTTTTTTGTCTTTTGTAGGTTTTACCAATACCTTTCACTAGTCACCTCTGCTCAATAGTCTTTGCTAATACAACCTCACAGTCCATCACAACCACCATTACCACCTCACAGTAATCCACCATCACCATTACTACCAACATTACCACCTCACTAACCCACCACCACCAATTACCACCTCACAGTAACCCACCACCTTACCACAAATTTAATACAAATTAACACTGTTACTACAGTAGTTCACTACAAATGTAAGCTCATATTACAAATGTAAGTTATTTAGAGTGTAGAAAACTGCCCACGGGGATAGGTATGGGAGCCCATATTAAACTAATTAAACTAACTTAACCACTGAAAATTAAATTAGAAGTAGGCAGAGAGAGAACTGTATGTACTATACAGTACAGTACAGTACTGTTTTTTTGAAAGTTTGATGGATGGAATTGATGAAAGAACCACAAATAAAATCAGTCACTAAAACTCAACCAAAGCCAGACTTGGGGGCAAAGAAAGCTTTTTCACACATGGAACTAAGTGTCCCCAAGATTGAGTGTCCTGCACGAGCTCTTCGTTCTGTGGCAAATTACAAAAATCTGAAAATGTTATGAGAACCTCGAGGAGGAACCCATTTCGGAAGCAAACTCTGATCCTATATAGAGATTAAGACTTGCTCGCTGGCCTTTTAAGTCGTGAGGCACAAAAAATGCCTGTCTCACATACACATACAAGAAATATTAACTTTATAAGCACTGCATTTGCAAATGAACCCACTGCATGGTTAAACCTAGACTTGAAGATCTTAAAATCAACCCAGTCTGGTCTTGAGTCTTCCCAGTTATTAGGTAAACAAGTCAGGGTGAATGTGTTGGGGGTTACAACCAAGGGACCAAGTTTTGGCGTGGCTATTGCCATGTGGTGATGGTCAGGGATAACATTGAGATAAGCCACTGGCAGTCTGTGAGAATGTTTCTTGGAAGGCCTTGCGGTACCAATGTAGAGTATGTGAGTGTTTATAAGTAAACTCTATGACTAGACTGGATTAAACTTTTCTTCAGTGCTTAGTATCAATATGGCCTGATAGACATTTGATTAGATCCCTGTTTTGCCAGCATTGAATATCACATTGCCCTGTATTTTGGTCCTGTCCAATGCAATATGTATCCTTCTGTATGAATGCAAGACAATGGTGTGGTGTGAATGGGAAAAATCAAGAATTAAAGTGGTATAAATGGATAACCTAAGAATTATAAGGGAATGATTTGAGAATGAATGAATGAATGAATGAGATACTTGCTAAAGTTTACAAAATAATTATTGTAGTGAGAGTTTTTCTTAAATGCAGCACATTATATTGAAATTGCTTTACCTTCAAGGATTTCACATGCACGTTTATCATTTTGGCTAATCTTTAATTATTATTTTTCATACATATTCTTTTCTTCAGGAAGGATGATGGTATGCAGGTACCATTTGACAAGGAAAGTTCAAGCATTATTAAACTAAATAATGCTACTGTTCTCTACTTAAGAGAAGTTAGTCGGTACCTGGCTCTAGTCTGCATATTGAGAGAGGATAATTTTGATAGACAAGGTAAGCAGTATTTAAGTTTTGTGAATTATTTGTTAAGAATTTTTATATTTACTCTCTCTGTCTTTGTCTCTCTCTCTCTCTCTGACTCTGTGTGTCTCTCTCTCTCTCTCTCTGAGACAAGATAAGCAGTATTTAAGTTTTGTGAATTATTTGTTAAGAATTTTTATTGATTTTGGGAGAGTGCCCTCAGTAGCTCCCTGAGCTTAGTTCTGATACCACCAAGTCTGAGACCCATCCATCACCACTCATCCATTACCTACCAAGACCCAGGACCAGTATCTGGCTCACTCTACGAGGCAGGGGGGGGGGGGATCAACGATCAACCACGAAACTGAAAACAATACACACTGAAAAGCATAGGCACAGCAAAACAAGCAACTTTATGAACAAAATTAGGCACCCGCCTAGATAAATATGGAAAATGACTGTGGCCAGAGGAGATATCTAAACTGTAATGTACTGTACCTGGATGCCACCAGATGACAGCGCAAGTCAGCTGAAGTGTCAGCCAGACTGTCAAGATATCACTGAATGCCACCAAATGACAGCGCAAGTCACATTAACTGTCAGCTGAGGTGTCGGCTAGACTGTCCTTCCTGTCCTCACTCTTGTTTATGGTGTACCCTGTCCAACAACTGTTGCCTTTGCTGGGCCCATCATCAGCTTCTCACTTTCAGCTAAGTGGTGTTGGCTTTCCTTCGAACATTACATTCTAAGAGAGGCCATTGCTTTGTTAGATATTGTTTAAGACATCACAGTTGTGTTTCTATGTACCACACCAAAACCATCTGTTCTGAGGGGTTTCGGGCTCCCTCCTCTATGAGTTGACTCCTAAGTTACCTCGTTTCGGACATTACACAAGTTTATTCTGGTCAGAAGGAGACAAACTTCTCAACTCAGAAAAACTAAGATATTCTGACTGTGTGCTTGTGATCTTGAAAAGCCTGCGTTTTTGTTGGTCCAACTTCTGTATTTAGTAGGTGTGAAGGGGGTCTTTAACTGTAGCTGAGAGATGCGTGAGTAGCATACGTGAATTTTGTGATTGGTGGCTGTTCATGTCTTACCTTGCTGAGAACCAACTTTTGATTAATCAGAGGTTGAGAACCCTGGCATTTCTGAAGGAGTTGAAAGAAAGAGGCATGCTCTGCAGAAAAAGACATATTTCCTGCCAATAAAATATTAAAAGGGTCTTTTTGGATATAAAAGAATGTGAAAATAATTGTAACCACTGTAAGCTAGAGACCTTACTTAAGTCAAGCCTCTGAAGCCTAAGGAGCCAAGCTCGAGCACTATCAATGAAACTGAAATGCTGTCTCCCTGTATGACCTCGTTAATGTTATCACAGTTGCTTTATTGCATCCAACAGACAAACACTTAGAATGGTGACAACTGCAGCATTCAAAAGCTTTGAATCTCTATAAGACTGAATATTGGCTCTCTCTCTCGCTCTCTCTCTCTCTCCTGAGTATTAATTTACCAGCAATAAGGGTGAGGATCAAAAGCTAGATTTGTCAATCAGACCTATCAAGACAATGACAAAATCCTAGATATAGATGGTTCAAAAAATTCCAGTGCACACCATCCACCAAAGGTCCAAGCCCAACTCACCAGCACAAACTATGTTTATTTAACCAAATAACTCCCAAAAATGAAATTAATAATACTGAACTCTCTCCAGTGGAATTGCTGTGGATTCTCCTTTCTTTGGGAAGAGTTCCAGACACTTTTGAAAGATAACTCCTGTATGCATATTCCTCCAAGAAATACAAATTTGCAGACTAGTAAATATTTACATCATTTATCGGCATTTATGCATGGTATGTTAGTTTATAGGGAAGATCTGCTGTCCTGTTAACTAGTTCATCCTCCACCTGAGCATACTCTGCCATGTTACTTTACAGTTTAAGTAATTATCAAATGTTTACAATGCTGTCTTCTAAGTAAGCAGGCTTAGTCTAAATAGAAGGTAATTTTCTGGTAATAATCTGATTAACTAATGATGCAGAGTAATCTGGTAAATTTGTAATTTTTCTTAGAGTGTTTTTTACTAATATAGTTCAGTAAGTGATGTAAAGCATGTAGTTGGAGGTTAATAAGAACAAATAGTACAGCATTTGGAAATTTTTGCTGCGGGCTATGCACATATTTGTCTTAACACAAATGTATTTTGGTAACTTGCAAATTGTTTACCTTAGATATCAAATTATATCACCTAATTGTTTGTAAGTGCAAATCAAGATTTTTTTATGTGATGCATTTTTTATCACTGTCACTACATATAAGTATTAATCATCAGGCATAATAGACTACAACTTCCTCTGCTTCCGTAATGCAATACAAGAGGTGTTTGATGTTCGGACAACGCATCTTGCACAGCTAACCAACAGCACGTCTTCGCCGCACCTCCCGAACAGTCACACCAACGGACCCACCTCCTAGTATATCTTCACAGAAGAGTAGCTTTGTTGCCACTTCTGCTCATACTCTTATTTCATGAATACATAGCAAGCACTCGGCTCTCATTTTCACTGATGACCCTAAAGGTTGCTGTGAATAGTCATTTGAGTGTTTAAGCCTCAAAGCTCGCAGTGAGGAGATTACAATATTCATTAGAAAAAAATGGCAGTGTTAAGAAAACGATTAATTTAAACAAGGTACACACACACAATTATTTTCATTTGATTCAGAAATTTTGCTGTTCATGCCATTTATTTCTTTAAAGATTTAGAAATAAATACACTATATGATAGAAATAAATACACTATATGATTGTATGAATGCTGTATTTGATATGTATTTTGATTTCTAGAAATAATTTTGCCAGCTGTTCCTATTTTAGATGTACATTGTATGACTTTGTGCAGAGTGAGGTATACATGGTATCAACAATATCTGATGTGTGTATTTTGAGAATTAAATTTATGATTGACATGAAAAAAAATTATCCATGCAAACATGATAATTAATTTATGCAGATTTAATTCTAATTTGCTCCTGTTGATTATTTTTGATCTGGCAAATGATATTATCCTGTTGATGGAAGTGTAATTAGCATGGCTTTATGCTTTGATGCTGCCAATTGATATGGAACAGCCAACACTTGTTGGTTAATTTCTTAGTCAAAATTATTTTGGTAACATGGATAAATTGCCTTGGTAGTAATTCAGCTTATGTTACCTTAAAGGTTTGTTTCTGTGCGTCTCTATGCTCAAGCAAGTTGCAAATCATTTTAAAAATGCAAGATTTCAGACGTGTAATAGGTAGCTAGATGCAGTTATGTGAGCCAGTTTGTTTTAGACTCATGCAAGATAATGTGGAAGGGGTTTATTATGTGTGATGTATATTTATGTCATACCAAAGAACCTGAATAAGATTTAACCCTCTTTAACCATTAGGTTCTTAAAATAAATTGCACTTGAAAACGTATAAATTAATTGGGACAGTGTTGTTTCATATATGTTTTTTTGGGGGGATTATTATATCTACAGATTATATATATATTCTTATTGGTTTAAAAAATTATAAAGCAGAACTAAATTTCTCTCATTGCCAATACCTCATCGTTTAAAAATGCAGTTGGCAAAGTATCACCATACAATTTTTTTTTATAAACACTGTTAGCAGCCTAACGGTTAACTGGGTTTGATTCCCTAAATAACTATGGCATATGGCATAAATAATATCAATTTTGTTTCTCAAGTCGACTGCTGTTTTGGTCGTTAAACACGGTGCTGTTGCTCAAGGGATACTACAGATAATAGAATCTCCTTAGGGCTCAAAATATTCATGTACAGTTTTTGTGTTATATTTACCTTGCTAGATACAAGTGATTGATGCTATCATATTAGACTTTTTGACCAAGTTATGGCTGTAGGATAGCAGATGTTTATTATTTTAATGAGCAACAATTAAGTCATATTATTTGTTTGCACATTGATGCCAATTAGAGGATAATATTTTAACTTTTTCCAATTTACAGTATGTACAGTCTTTGTGTTATGGAAGTACACCCTTCCAATGTAGTTCAAACCCCTCACAGAGTAGATAAATTTATGAACATTATTCCATTATTGGGTTTTTCTATTAAACTCTTACAAGCCACAGTTTTAAGATGATTAACCTTAAGAAAATTTCCTTCAAATGGTACAGCTGTTGTGCCTCTCAAGGTTCTCTTGTTCAAATTGCAGCTTCAAGGTTGAAATTCTTATTGACTTGTTTAACCCTTAAATGGGTACAGCTGATTGAAAGTTGTAATTTGCAGTGTGAATAACAAAAGGAAAATAATCACATTTGGCAATTCGAGCATGGGAGGTAATCACAGACAGCAATTAAGGGTTAAATGTTTCCATATATACAAGAGTGCTTGAAGGATGCAAATGTTTAAGGTGTATACATTCAGAGATAGGGTGGATCAAAGTTCAATTTCCAAGGCTAGGTACAGTATTGAACTTTGTTATTGAAATATTGAAAAATTTCCTTAGACCTGATTTCTGTATTCACCTAGCAGTAAACAGGTATCTAAGAGCTGGGTAATTGTTGTGGGTTGCAGCCTCATGTTGCAGCTCACAACAGTTATAGCTTAGGGAACTTTAGTAAGCCTAACAAGCTTCCTGTTCCCAACTGTGGGAAAGGGGTCTCGTAGCCTGGTGGATAGCGCGCAGGACTCGTAATTCTGTGGCGCGGGTTCGATTCCCGCACGAGGCAGAAACAAATGGGCAAAGTTTCTTTCACCCTATGCCCCTGTTACCTAGCAGTAAATAGGTACCTGGGTGTTAGTCAGCTGTCACGGGCTGCTTCCTGGGGGTGGAGGCCTGGTCGAGGACCGGGCCGCGGGGACACTAAAGCCCCGAAATCATCTCAAGATAACCTCAAGATAACCATGTAGGTATATTCATACATCAGCCCGTCCTCAGGGTTTCCTCAGTGATTACCAAGGAATGCCAAACTCACTCTCATGCCAACAGGATAGTTATATTGATATCTGTGTTGGTCTCGAAGCATATTATGGTTCTAGTATAGTATGCTTTAGATCTGGCATGTCTATGTGTAAATTGGCCAGTGGACCTTTGTCTTAAATAGGGAATATTCTCAAGTTATTACTTGAGAAATTGAGAGACAGAAATTTCCTTAAGTACTTTTGTATTTAATAAGACATCTTCAGAAGGATGATCCTCAGTCATTTAATTTTTAAAATGTATTATTAAATTTAAAAGTACTTAATTAAGGAAATTCCTGTCTTAATCCTTCCTTCATGGTTTGACATTGTCACATTGTTCATCACGTGTTAATTGCTTTGTGATCTACACACACACACACAAGGAAGAAGTTAGAACAAGTAGAAGAAGTTAGAGCTGTGTAAGGAATCTTTCAGAACTTTGTATACCACATATGTCAGACTAATCCTGGAGTATGCGGCTCCAGCATGGAGTCCATATCTAGTCAAGCATAAGACTAAACTGGAAAAGGTTCAGAGGTTTGCCACCAGACTAGTACCCGAACTAAGGGGTATGAGCTACGAGGAGAGACTACGGAAATTAAACCTCACGTCACTGAGAGACAGAAGAGTTAGAGGGGACATGATCACCACATACAAGATTCTCAGAGGAATTGATAGGGTAGATAAAGACAGGCTATTTACCACAAGGGGCACATGCACTAGGGGGGACAGGTGGAAATGGAGTGCCCAAATGAGCCAGAGACATTAGAAAGAATTTTTTCAGTGTTAGAGTAGTAGACAAATGGAATGCATTAGGAAGTGATGTGGTGGAGGCTAACTCCATACACAGCTTCAAGTGTAGATATGATAGAGCCCAGTAGGCTCATGAACCTGTACATTTGTTGATTGACAGTTGAGAGGTGAGACGAAAGAGCCAGAGCTCAACCCCTGCAAGCACAACTAGGTAAGTACACACACACACACGCACGCACGCATGCACGGACGCGCACACACAGACCAAACCTGTCTCCTGAAGCCCACCAAAAAAATTACATCTGCAGCATAGGTGAGGCTGGCTAACATCAGAACAGCCTTCAGGAACCTGTGTAAGGAATCATTTAGAACCCTGTATACCACTTATGTAAGACCAATCATGAAGTATGTGGCCCCAGCATGGAGCCTGTACCTTGTTAAGAACAAGACGAAGCTTAAAAAAGTTCAGAGGTATGCCACTAGGCTAGTCCCAGAACTAAGAGGCATGAGTTACGAGGAAAGGCTGCGGGAAATTCATCTCACGAAACTGGAAGACAGAAGAGTAAGGGGAGACATGATCACTACCTACAAAATTCTCAGGGGAATTGACAGGGTAGATAAGGATAAACTGTTTAACACAGGTGGTACGTGAACAAGGGGACACAGGTGGATACTGAACACCCAAATGAGCCACAGGACGTTAGAAAGAACTTTTTCAGTGTCAGAGTAGTTAACAGGTGGAATGCATTAGGCAGCAATGTGGTGGAGGCTAACTCCATACACAGTTTCAAATGTAGATATGATTGAGCCCAGTAGTCTCAGGAACCTGTACATCAGTTGATTGACTGTTGAGAGGCGGGACCAAAGAGCAAGAGCTCAACCCCCGCAAACACAAATAGGTGAGTACACACACACACAAATATACACAGAGTAACCTAAAAATATCACAATCTCTCTACTGCACTTTGTTTACAGTATAGTAAATATTAAAAAAAAATTTTAATCTATATAAAAGAGAATGTTAGCCTGTCTGTGTCTGTCTCCTCGATGTTGAAGGCCAAACTCTTGTGGCTACCCCTCACCAAATTTCGCAGGATGACTGGTCTTTGTTCAGGGATGATCATAAGTGGGACAGAGTTGAGTCCCTAGGCTTTTGCATGAAATAGCAAAGCACACTAATTTCCAATCTCATTAAATATCAGACTCCATCTTCACTAGATTCATCCAGCATATTACTTTCTACAGTGAAGGGAAAAGTGATGAAGAATATAGCAGGTGGTGAAGGGTAGGGAAGGTGGTGACTAGTGAAGGGTAGGGAAGATAAGGAAGGATAGAGAATGTAGTGAAGGAGGGGGAAGTTTGCCAGTTGGGAACCAGTGGTGTCTGGATAGTGATTATGGCTACAGAGATGAAGACAGTATATACTGTAATGAAAATGATTATTACATGCAGATGAAGGGGTGCAAATAGATAATGGAAACTGTATTTTAACACGATACTTTATACATCATGTTTATATGCAATATAAACTGTATACTCACCTAGTATTGGTGAGTACACACCTATGTGTACACCTATTACAGTGTGTGTGTAAATATATGCGTGCGTTTGTGTTTAAATACAGTACAGTATCTGGGAAAACGAACATGTGTAGTTTTCCATAGTCAGAGACAGGAAGTCTGCTGGACTTAAAGATATCCCCCCACACCCCCTAAACCAGCAACTGTCCTTCCCCAGGATACAAGCCATAGTAATTGCTGAACTCAAGGGTATTTATTTACTGCAATGGGAGCAGAAACATCGAATGAAAGAAGGCATTGCTGAAACCCATCTGTCCTGCCATGGAAATTGAACCTGGGACCTTTTGGTTATGACCCAGTCACACTGATCACTGTGCCACAGGACCCCACAAATAATTCTAACTAGTGTTTGTGCTATTTTAAAGAATATTGGCTAACAATTTTTTTTTAATTCTCACAGATAAGAGTGTTAAAAATATTTGTACAGTACTTGCATACATAATGGCAACACACTCACCCTGCACTTCATGAGCGATTTGGCCTAGGTTCATATCCTGGCCAGGGAGGATTGACTAGGTGCCAATCTTTAATTGTATGCCTATGTTCACCCAGAGGTGATTGTTTAACAATGATTGTTAACCAGTTGGTAGGTTGTATTCCAGGAAAACTGGTGGGTAAGACTTAATATAAGCTATGAGAAGGGACAGCTCTCAGCCTGATAACAGGAGTCAGCAGTCATCTGATTCAATACCCACCTGTGTACAAAAAATATACTGTATGTATATATAGAATGTTTGTTTGTTCACATATTGAAAACCATATATACTTAAGGTAGCCTCACCGAGCAATGCAGGGTGACTGGTGATTGTTGGGTAGTGGTCACATGGGGGTCGAGACTGACCCCATGACCCCCTAGAAATCAACTTCCAACCTCACTAAATAAGCAGATTCTATTCTCAGTAAGATTTGAGGTTAAGTGTTTGGAGCTTCCCGTAATCTACACACTGCCTGGATAGGGTACCCTACAGTGCCTGGATATTCAAGTTGGTAGCAGTGATGAACACAATGGTTAGTAAGGCTGGTTATTGTGATGAGGACATTGTAGTTAAGATGATTACAGTGATGTAATTATCTTTACTACAATAGTAAAGCTAGTTTGTAGGGATAATGAGGGTTGTAGATGGGATGCCTGGGTAGTGAGGATGGTTACAGTTATGGGGATGGCCAGGTATAGGTACAGTGATGAGGACTGTGTTGTGTAGTTACAGTGATGAAGATAGTGTTTAGTGAAGATTGTTACACTGATGAAAATGTGGCGAGCCAATAGGCAATACAGGAGAATTGCCAGCTATTATTATTTTATTTTCAATACATTATGTTTCAAGTTAAAAATAATGTAATAAACAGATTAATTGAGTAAAAGTTATTGGAACGTACATAATATATATTTATATCAGAAGTTTATATGGCTAAGAATTTTTGGCCAAAAAAATCAAATCTACAAACGTACTTAAATCCTAATGTTACCCAACCACTTTGGCCAGAGGGTAGAGCGATGGGCTCGCTTCATGCAGGTCGGTGTTCAATCCCTACCGTCCAAGTGGTTGGGCACCATTCCTTTTCCCCGTCCCATCCCAAAGCCTTATCCTGACTCCTTCCCAGTGCTATATATGTAATCGTCGTAATGGCTAGGTGCTTTTCCCCCTAATAATTCCCCTCCCTTCTCTAATGTTTTAAATTTGTTCATTTCCATCCAATCTTGCTTAAATACTGAACTGTACTGATTTTCGAAAGCGTGACAGGTGCTTCAATGTTCATGGCTGATTTTTCTAAATTCCAAATGAATGATTTATTTTTAAAATTTATTTCAGTAATCATTATTGTTTTTTAGTAA